CCCCCCCCCCCCCCCCTTATAACTTTTCTAATGGTCCATCCCTAACTGGAAATTTAGTCCAATAGTTTTATTAAATATTAACTTCTGAATAAATTTATTTTAACTGTTGTGCTTTGGAGGTTATCTTAGCCTTTCACTTATAAAATTTCAAAATAGTTTCAGATATAAGCAAGTTCTAAGGTCTTGTAGTGTTTAGAAGGAGTGTTTTTCAGAACATCGGAATCGGTTTTCCAGTTTGGTCTGTATTCTTCAGGAGCTAGAAGTCCATGACCATGCCAGTTCTATTGCTTTAATTTTCACACATCTTGATTTACACCAACTTTTTCATATGTATAACATCACACAGAATATTTTTCTCATCCCTAATGGTGCCGTTGATCGGCAAATGCTCGGAATTTAATTATTATTTTGAATTAATCATGATTTAAGTAGTTAAGGGCCTCACTCGAACAATATTTTACTTTCTAACTTTTGATACAATGGAATTGCTGACTTGCTCCAATTTACCAACAAAGCTTCAGGCCATGTTGTTATTGTTTGATAAAAGTGAAAACCTAAAATGTGCCGAAGATGCTCTTTCAAACTTGGGTGAAATTTATTAGCCATACGTTTCTATGTAAAATCAGTTTTAAACTTCTAAAACTGTGTAGCAACAAATAGGCACATTCCAAAAAAGATAAACAAATATGCCTCATTGGCACTTTCAGGAAGGCACCCCTAGTTAATATTAATTAGACACTACTTTATATGATATAACGTCTTTGCTTTGTCTACTTAAGCTCATGAACACTGCTTTTGAAGTGAAGTAGAATACGTAAATCGCAGGACCTCGCGAAGGACTTCGGGGGAACGGCAATATAAGGCAATAGAGAAGAAAATTTATAAATCTAAAAAATTTTAAGCTATATAAAGAAACAAAACAAAACTGCAATAACTAAGAAGAAATCTGAACGAAAAGAAAAAGAAAAAAAAAGAAAATAAGCGAAGAGAAAAAGGTTCCGCCCGGATTCGAACTCGGGACCTTCGCCTCGCCGGCCCGCATCTGTACCATCAGGCCACACGTTCGCGCTCATGAACGCAGCTTTTGAAGTGAAAAAATAATTACTAGGAATCATACCCCATAAATATCTGGTGGGGGAATCTCATGTGGAAATCTGGAGGTCCAACGAAAATTTCGCTGACCATAAACATCCCTTTACACATAGTCCTAACGGTGAGATTATGATATCCTGGTTTCACTCTTGTCAAAACTGTATCAACTTGATCAAACCCGATGTAAGTTTCAGAAAAATAAACAGCTATATTATTCTCGTTGTCAAGCCAAATCGTAGCGTGACATCGTTCGTTCATGACCATAACTGTCACGGACCCCGAAATTGTCGGAACATCTTTAATTTTCAGATGTGGAACAAAGACACTTAATTTAAGGTAACTAAACGTTTTCTCCCCACACCAACGCCCAAACGCATCCGGACGAAGCGGTTTGGTCTTGTTTTTTAGTTTTAAAAACATCGAAAAGCCTACGTTATCTACAATTTTAAATTGTAGACTTGGGTGGTGAATCGGTTTAGACGCATCTGGCGTTTTTCCTGTCCAACACAGTGGCTGTCTCAAAATTTCTGTTTCGCTTTTGATAAACAGAATCTTTGGTAACTTGATGTCTTTGGTTTCCACTTGACCAATGCCTTTGTTAATATCGCTTATTACTTCCTTGAAAACGCTTCTTACATACTTAATCATCATCGTCGCCACAAGTGCGTGCGCATTAACGTTCAGATGTTGTCCATCTGAGGCAGTCGTGTTCTTAATCACAGCTCTCCAATTTCCCTTTTCTTTATGGCAAAACAATTCTCTTAAACTCAGTGAAGTAATATTGTAATAGAGCGGTTTTCACTTGACTGTCGTAAAACCAAAACCAAAGTAAATACATTAACCAACCAAAGGGCGTAGTAAAACCAAAACCAAACCAATTCCTCAATTACTTTCGACAGTCAAGTGAAAACCGCTCTATTAGACAGTTATTGCGTTCATAACTTACGAGGTTAATAAACAGTACCGCGGGCGTCGACGGATGCGTTAGGACTTGTCGAATTAATTGCTCCAGTGGCATACTCTTATTGAGGTCATTAACACAGACTTCTATACGGACAATGTCAATCTTTTCCCGCACTGCAAGGAACGTTTGGTAGCAGTAAGAATAAAAATAACTTCCGGTTGCCCCAATTGCCAGTTGAATTTCTTTCATAAGGGCCTTTGTTATACCACCGATGTAACTATTCCACCAGTTGATGAAGACTCTAAAGTATAATCCATCTAAACTCTTCTCGTCCGCTCCTAAACAACCCCCTGTACTATTTGACCCTCCCAGCACGACAAGTTTGATATCTCCGCCCCTCAAAGCCTTTCTTAGAATGTTCTTCATCCTGACAGAATTACCAGTTTTAATGGCTTTTGATAACAACTTGTCTTCAAAGTTCCATAGACTGAACAAATCGTGATCGTTTTCTAGCGCATCTTGTACTTCGTCCAGTTTTCCATAATGCTGCAAAGCAGGTTTTAAAGAGATCGGGTTGAGGAAGTACACAGAATACAGGGACAAGATGACACAAGCGCAGAAGGCAAACAAATACTTGCTCGAACTCCTCATGGTTTTTCTTGTCCACAACGAGTGTTTCCTTTCCTTTCCTGGCAGAAAAAGCGTTAACAGTCAGCATTCCAGGCCTGGTAAAAAAGATTTTTCTTGTTAGGTAGATTAGCACCGAAGGCAATTCAATTCAATTTTATTCACACTTTTATAAAATACTTACATTATATATCTGACTGGATTTATGAAAACATGGCTTCAGTGAGTGTCTAAAGGTCCTAAGCTAAGAGTGTTCTTGGTACCAAGACTTCGACCCTCCCCACCCAGGACAATGGGTGACTGTCTGCACCTCCCACTGAGCTCTACCATTATCATGATAATCATTCTCAGCAGAGGCCTGATTCAGCTGGCTAGGGCAAATTAAGACCAAGGTACTCGCCAGTCAAAGCCTCCACTGAACACTGCTACTTACTGAAGGGGTTGTGTCAAAGCAGCCGCCTCCCTACCCCACCTAGTTTTGACCCCAAGGCCTGATCCACCCACCCACTGTTAGAGCAGTCCCAGGGCTATCCAGCTGTACCGACCAAGACGTCAAGCCCCCCTACTTTTTTGAACACCGGGCTGGCCTGGATCCAGACTGTGCCCGTCGCCAGGCGAAAACCGAGTGGCCACGTTTTAACGAAATCAGACAGATATAATAAGGTAGGAATACGCTAATAAAGAAGAAGAAGAAGGAAATAAAAGAAAATTAATGGCTTGGATAGAAGTGTACGGTGGTCAGAGGAGCTAACCACCAAGGCGTGAATTACTAGCGGTTTGGCGGGCAGACGGACTAAAGAAGATTTTGAAACACTGGTTTATCTGATGTAGCATTACCATTATTTAACAATTAATGAATTAGGCCAGGAGCCAATTACTTAATCGGCTCCTGATCAGGCTGAGTGTTATATGAAGAATTGAACACATCCACATAGTGGTTCTTCGTCTACCTGATTCCTGGTCGAATTGGAATTTGGAAATGTTGGTTTTTGAGGAGAGGGGAAAACCGGAGTACCCGGAGAAAAACCTCTCGGAGCAAGGGAGAGAACCAACAACAAACTCAACCCACACATGGCGTCGACGCCGGGATTTGAACCCGTGCCACATTAGTGGGAGGCGAGTGCTCTCATCACTGCGCCACCCTTGCTCCCCTACAACGGCCGTCGCTGTCGTCATTGAAAACTCCAGATGAGAATGAATAGAAATATAAACCATTAATTCATCAGTAATCATCCGCTAATGTTGAATTAATAAATTGGCTGTGAGAGTTACTTACACTTTCAGCCACACTGGGTGTAAACGCATTNTCTTCGTCTACCTGATTCCTGGTCGAATTGGAATTTGGAAATGTTGGTTTTTGAGGAGAGGGGAAAACCGGAGTACCCGGAGAAAAACCTCTCGGAGCAAGGGAGAGAACCAACAACAAACTCAACCCACACATGGCGTCGACGCCGGGATTTGAACCCGTGCCACATTAGTGGGAGGCGAGTGCTCTCATCACTGCGCCACCCTTGCTCCCCTACAACGGCCGTCGCTGTCGTCATTGAAAACTCCAGATGAGAATGAATAGAAATATAAACCATTAATTCATCAGTAATCATCCGCTAATGTTGAATTAATAAATTGGCTGTGAGAGTTACTTACACTTTCAGCCACACTGGGTGTAAACGCATTCAATTTTAACGAAAGGAACTACAAATGAGATAAAAGAAACGTACAATGAATAAATTTTGCGCGTGCATGCAGTCCGTATACTAAGCAGTTATTTAGCAGCGTCCTATGAATGCTCTAATTCATAGCCTTTTAAAATTAAGGGGACATGGACTGATTTGAATGCTTTACCGACCCAGGGGCCCCACTCACATATTTTAATGACGGGGGGGTCCGAAGGATTTTTTTGGGTCTGACATTTTGGCCAAAAGGGACTTTTTTGGGTCTATGAAAGACGCCGGGATTTTTTTGGGTCGCGAAAACAACAGAGGGATTTTTTTGGGTATTGTATTTTTCATCAGCTCAAATCAAAAATAATATAAGCGCAATTTATAGTTTTGTTTTTGACCAAAACAAAAGTTGAAGTTGGCATGTTTTAGCTTTCCAGAAGATAAATAATAAAATTTGCTGATGCAAAAACACTGAGGGATTTTTTTGGGTAGACAAATTCTGAAGTTGGGATTTTTTTGGGTATAAAATATGAACCTCTGTGGACCCCCCCCGTCATTAAAATATGTGAGTGGGGCACCTGGGTTTACCGACATGTAAAAAGCTTAGTAAGAACTCACGCAACTGCTGTAGGCTGAACAAGAAATTCCAATTCGAGTTATTTTATGGCAGACAAGTATGGTTATTTGTCGATAATTTGCGAACAAGAGGTCTATAGCCCTTCTGATATTAAAAACTCTGTTCTGCGTTGCAAAGACGATAATTTCTAAATTAAAAACCGACAGAAGCAGTAGCAGAAAGGTTACAAACTTGTATTATGACCAAACAGAGATTTCAAAATCGAAACAAGCTTTCAAAAAAAGATAAATAGAGAATAATACATGGTCGCGCGGAGATATGGAATTTATCTTCGAGTGTTCACATCGATATCGAACGAGTGAGCGCAGCGAACGAGTGAGATATCGAATGTGAACACGTGAAGATAAATTCCATATCTCCAAGCGTCCATGTATTATTCTGTTTATTATATAAACATACTGATGACGGCGTTTTTGATGATTTTCCGAAGATTTCCGACCACCTTCCGAAGATTTCCGAAGATTTTTCAAATTGTCCCGAAGACCAGACGAACGTT